TTAAGATTTTTGAGTTCTTTATATATTTTAGAGATTACTGCTCTATCTGATGTGCGTGTGGTAAGAATCTGTTCCCAATTAGTAGKCTCTCTTTTCACTTCACTGATTGTTTCTTTGGCTGAGAAGGAGCTTTTTAGTTTGAATCTATCCCATTCATTGATTCTTGATATTAACTCTTGCACTATAGGAGTCTTATTAAGAAATTTGGGGCCTAATCTGACATGATGGAGATTTGGGCCTACTTTTTCTTCTATTTGAAGCGGGGTCTCTGGTTTAATTCCTAGGTCCTTGATCCACTTTGACTTAAGTTTTGTGCATGATAAGAGATAGGGGTTTAATTTCATTTTTTTACATAAGGATTTCCAATTTTCCCAGCACCATTTGTTGCAGAGGCTATGTTTTCTCCAATGTACATTTTTGGTACCTTTGTCAAATATAATATAACCGTAATTATGTGGGTAATTTCTGTGTCCTCTATTTTGTACCATTGATCTACACATCTATTTTGGTGCCGGTACCATGCTATTTTGTTATTATTGCTCTGTAGTATAGTTTAAGGTCTGGTATAGTGACACCACCTGCTTCACTCTTCTTGATAAGTATTGCATCTCTTATTTTTCCAAATGAATTTGATGACTGCTTTTTCTATTTTTATGAGAAATGTCATTGGAATTTTGATTGGAATTGGTCATTTTGACGATATTAATTCTGCCTATCCCAGAACAAGGTAGATCTTTCCATCTTCAAAGGTCTTATTTAATTTATTTTTTAGTGTTCTGTAGTTTTCTTTGTAGAGATCTTTGACCTCTTTTGTTGATTCCCAAGTATTTTTTTTTGTATGCTATTGTAAATGGGGTAGTTTTTCTTGTTTCCCTTTCAGAGGATTTGTCACTGATATACAGAAATCCCTTTGATTTATGGGTGTTGATTTGTATCCTGCTACTTTGCTGAATTCATTTACTAGTTCTAGAAGTTTTCTGGTGGACTTTTTGGGTATTCTAGGTATAGAATCCCATCCTTGGCAAATAGTGCTGATTTGAATTCTTCTTTACCTATCCGTATCCCTTTAATTTCTTTCATCTGTCTAATTGCTCTTGCCAGTGTTTCAAGAACTATGTTAAATAAAAGTGGTAAAGAGGGCATCCCTATCTTGTTCCAGTTTGTAGAGGGAATGCTTTCTATTTTTCTCCATTTAGAATGATGTTGGTCTGATTAGGCTATCTTAATTCAAATTCTTACAATGTAAACCTTTTATAATAGTTGCATGCCATTAAGCCATGTTAATTTTTCAAACATACTGACTTTTACATCTTCCTTTTTAAAATTTTTACTGCCTCAGTACTTTAGACCCTCATCAGCTCACACCTGAGATGCTATATTATCCCAAAGTTCTGGAGTGATAAGATTTGATTATCACATAATAAAGAACTATGGTTTCAAAAACTTTCTTTYATTGGCCCCAGATTCTTAAAAATGGCCGAGAAGACAGCAGTAACTATCATACCTCTAATAAGACAGCAGTATCTTATAATACCTTGAATTAGCTTCCTTGTTCTTCTCCAACCAATTCAATCTCTACCTGCAAGTAATATCCCTTTGACTCAAGAAATAACCAGAATACATCAATAACTAGGAAAGAATTTTTAAAGAATTTCAAAGAAGTTTGCTACCCCCAGCAAATGTAAGAAATGAAATGAAATTAATAAGCATGTATTTAAGATATAGAATGTAATTAGTAAGCATATAATTATTTATACAAAGAGTATACCTTATTATAAAATGTCTATATCTTCTTTGCTATTAACAACATGACTAAACTCCCTTGTAAATCATGGAGATATAAGCACAATTTTTATTCAAATATAAAATTAGTTAAATAGGTTTACCAAAACCAGAAATGTATATTTTGCAATATGTATTAAAATGCTTTTCTTTCTTTTCTAGGATACATCGAGCAAGAGCATATTTTAAAAGGAGTTTTTATAAACAAGCAATTCAGGACTTTTCTATTGCTATTCACTTAGATCCTAATAACTGGTTGTCATTCTATTATCGAGCTTGCTTATTTAGAAAGACTAACCCTCGTAAAGCACTACAGGATTATAGCATTTCAGGTACTTTGCTTTCAACTGCACATACATACGCATCTGATGTGAAGTTCAGCAGCTTAGTCTCATAGAGGGAAATATGGATGTGGGATCACTAATATAATATCTATAATACTATATACTAGTATTCATATACTTACATATTAAATATATTTTAGATTATACTATTGTATATGTATACATACCTCTGTGTGGATATATATATATATATATATATATATATATATATATATCTCTTAGGACAGTAATAAAATTGTCCAATAAATGTTAAAGATTATTATTATTATCCTAGAAAATATTTTGAGGATCCTTTTTGGTCACGAATGATAAAACTTTCTAAGCTAGCCTATAGGAAATGATTAAAGCCAAAATCAAGTTGGTCTACTCTGAACAATTAGATAATAGAGATTTTAAATTATCATGATAGTCTAGAAAGGGGAGAACTAAAGAGGCGAAAGTTGGAAAATTGGAAAATGTGAGGAAAAAGCCTTTAGAGAAAGACCAGAGAGAAATAGATTCAGCCAGATGGCAGGGCCRTCTGAGACTGGGTCTCAGTGTGTATTTATATACATATTATATAAATACACTTACAAGCCACATGATTGAGCTACAAGCATTCTAATATGTCCTTTTGGTATGTGTGAGTAAATGTGTGCATATGTTTCTCTGTAATTATGACAAGGGGAAACTATTGTGTTAAGGAAATCTTTTTGTAAATAGAGTTCTGGAAAACATTCTGGAAACTCCATTCTATTTCCTAGTTAGCTTGCTTAAATGGCATTAAACTGTCCTGGTGGTTTGGATCCTATTCTAAGTCAGCCCATGGATTTGTCAAATTCCATATTTTTGATGCTTAAATTAAAAATAGGCCTTGAGACATCTCAGAAGCTAAAGTATGTTAACAGCCMAAAATGGTAATGTCTTCTTTACCCTCAGTCAATGCATCCCTGGTTTATATGTGTCCAGCACAATTCTTGATCATGAGTAAGTGACCAGTAAATAGTCAACAGTGACATGGATTGAGCCTATCCTAGCAGATGAAATCCAGCCAGAACCCAACTCTCCAATGACTGTGCTCACCCAGGTGCAAAATTGTAGAATCTCATSGTTCTAGATTCTCTTTATCTGGAAATTAAGAAGAGATAGATTTCCTTCTCTGTGGGAGTCTGGCTAAGATGATTGCTGCTAAAATATTTCTAAGTCCTTTTGCCTCCTGAAGTCATCTTGTCCAATAATATTCAGCTAAAATAGCCTCGTTGTCTCCTGAAAGGAGCCTAGTGCTCTGCCTTCTCTTTCTAAGGACTCTTGGGAAGGTATGCTGAAGATTTTCATTCAATGATCTCATCATCTCTGAGTCTAATTTCTGCCCTCAGCTGATTCTACATCGCTAGCCTTCTTACTTCTTGTAGCTGCTGTTCTCTCTGCTTCAAATCTTCCTAGGTCTTTCCCTCAGTCACCAAAGTAGCATCAACAGAAACAATTCATGCATAATACAGAACAGCTTAGAGTTAGGAGGATAAATGTGGCACACACAACTTAAAAGGTCTCTATAGGTTTTCCTGGCTCTATCGGCCTGTCTCATACGGCCCCGCCATCTGGCTGAATCTGTTTCTCTCTTGTCTTTCTCTAAAGGCTTTTTCCTCATATTTTCCTCTTTTCCAACTTTCGCCTCTTTAGTTCTCCCCTTTCTAGACTATCAAACGATAATTTAAAATCTCTATTATCTAATTGTTCACAGTAGACCAACTTGATTTTGGCTTTAGTCTTTTCCTATAGGCTAGCTTAGCAAGTTTTATCATTCGTGACCAAAAAGGATCCTCAAAATATTTTATAGGATAATAATAATAATCTCTAACATTTATTGGATATTTTGTTACTGTTCTAAGTGCTATATATGGAATATCTTAATGACAGTTCAAACAATGACATCAGGTAGGTGCTATCTTCATCTAAATTCTATTGATAGTAAAGCCTAAGAATAGAAAGGTTAAGTAACTCTAATACTTTTTCCTTAAGAATTTCCCCATTGTTTTAGAGCAACTTTCCATACTGTAGGGCTTTTTCCCTTGCTAGCCTACCATGCTGTGAACTGAGCAGTCATATGGCATTCAGGTGGTCATTTACTTACTCTAGGATCATTGCAGATGCTGATTACCCTTCCTCAAACTCAGAAGTGAGAATATTTGTGWTCCAGACTAAGAATATTTTTGGCAAAACTTTCTTCCTAACCCAAGAAGGGCTTGAGAAGCTCAGAAGATATATGTCAAACCTTGTATAAAACATATTTAATACACTAACTTATTTTTTAAAGTGAATGGGAGTCAGTAAGCCAGAGACATGAGGTGACTTCTAGGCAGGTTACTGGTAAGAGCTGCACACTGGAACCACCAAGAGGAGGTTCTTTTTATCATGTAAATTGTGATTTCATAGTCAAGTTGCTTGCCTCATTGCTAAGTTTTGCCTGCCTTAGAGGAGCWCCTTTGTGGCTACCTTTCCTGGTTTATGAATAAGCCTGACTTCTGCCATATGTCCTGATCTGGGTTGGTACCTGAACCTGTTCTTTGGCCAGAAACAGTGTCTTTGTGATAATAACAGGCTGTCAAGGGTAATGACACCCTTCTGACCGGAGTTATATTCTACGCCCAACTTTGCCAATGCCTTGCATCATGACTCTGGTCAATGTACCTGGCCCCCTTGAACCTTAATCTCCTTCTCTGGAAAGTGAGTGGACTCCATTAGATTACCACCAGGATTTCTTCCAGTTTTAATGGGTTTGTGAGCCTTAATAGCCACATTGTTAACTAATAAACAAATGCATTTTTTATGTTCAATACTGTTTATGCTCACAAAATACATTCATCATAGATATATTTTGTTTTATGTAATGTTAAAAAAGAATAAGCAGTAGAAAGGGTGTAGGCTGAAATCTGACCCAGATATGATTGTTCAAAACCTGAATAAAACATATTCTTTTATTTTAAAGTTCTCCTAAATGACGGCTATGAGAATTTTAGTTGTTTTCTACATCGGGGCATAGTCTATGTAAATCTAAAACTTTGGTGGCTGGCAATTTATGACTTTGAAGCTGTTATTTCTCTAGAAAGGTATGTTTTATTTTCATACTGGTTTTACTTTTGTTTAAAATTAAAAAAAAAAATAAAAGAAACAGTTTTTTCCCCTTATCATCGATAACTTAAAATGAGGCAATTATGAAATCATTCTAGAATTAGAATACCACTAAAATTAGACTACTGCTAAAATAAGAATTGTTTGTGTTAGGTGAGAGGTTGAATAGGTTTCAAAGGAGTTATTTCCATAGATAATAAATCAACAAGCTCTTAGGAAGGGTTGGAGGATACCCAGGCTAGAGCTTTTGGAAATTTCTGGAAAATCATTATCAAGTTTTAAAATAATGACAAATATTCTGCTTAATGTATCATTGCTATGCACAAAATACAACTAACTCAGTGGAAAGAAATCCTCTATTTTGAGCTCCTGATTTCATTTTTTAGTAAAGCAAAGGAAAAATCCAGTAACATTTAGAGCATAGTTTCAGGAAGGAACACAGATTGAAAGTCAAAGAGCCAGCTGTAAAATACAGATTTTAATTAAATAATTCCCTTCTTTCCAATGAAGTGTTCATTAAATGGAAGTTGTCAGAAAGAGTAACAAATCAAGCTAATTTTATGTTGACTAGCAGACTGTTTACTTAGCTATCTAATGTGAACTTTGAACTTGTCTCCAGAAAGTCACGGAGGATAGTTCCATAATGACTGTCGTGATTTTCTTTTGGACCTTTTTGAGCCAGATAGGAAAAGAAAAGACTTTTCTCGTGCAAAGAGTCAGAAAGTAGGTGGTAGGAACTGTGGTGTCTAGGCAAAGGGTTAGGGGTTCCCTGAGATTGGATCATTGAATGTGTAGTTTCCTTATTTTGAAAGAGACATCAAACAAGATAATGTCTAAGGTCATCTCTATACTGAATATTATTTGATTCTAAGAGAGAAAAGCAACAAACATCAATGCGGATATGGTTTTTAACCTCAAGCCACCAAACCGTTTTCCACTGTTATTCATAGCTTAAAGTAGAGACTTTTGATTGAGGAAAACTTGAGCTTGAAATTCAAGGTAACTCAAGATTAAGTCAAGGAGCAATAAAGTATTAGTAAGAGTCTAGGAGACTCCATGAATTCGGTTCCTAGCATAGTCTCTACAATTGTTAACTCCAAGGATTTAATAAAGGGCATTTATAATTTTTTAATAGAGCATAGTAGTTAACTAATTCATATTTCTTTGGTAAAACATTAAAAAACCCTGATGTATATTAATGTATATATTTCATTAGGTTCATCCATAATTGGAGAACATTTTGAATAATTAAAAATGTCTAACGATATTTGATTTTCTTGTTTTCCTAGAACTGTTACTTTGGCTTACATAAACATTGGCCTCATATATCTGCTACACCTGGAAAACTACAATGAAGCTATTTGTTGGTTTTCTGAGGCTATTAAAATTGATCCTTCGTGTATTCAAAGCTATATTTGTAGAGCAGAAGCCTATTATAAGGTATTTAGTGTTTGAGAATTTTGAATACAAATTTTAATTTTATGGCTATCTGTTCAATTAATTTTAAATGTTTTAATGTATTATTTTTCTTAGCTAACTATAGAAACAAATGGGCTTATAAGCTATAAATGTTAAGCACGTGTAGTTAACTATAATTACATACTCACAAAGTCTCTGCTTATGAGATGTGCGGTTTTATTGTCTTTCATTTAAAAAATAATACTGTATGTTTTTTTCCTTATTTTAAAAGCAATATGTATTTATTATAGGTAATGTATTTATCCAAATAAATAAATAAATAAATAAATAATAAGTTTAATGAAAAATAATAAATTAAAAATGGTCCATATTCTCTAGGGATAACTACTATTAACATTTTGGAATCTGTTGTTCTAATGTTTTTGCATGGGCATACTGGTGAGTGGGTGGGTTCATAGAATGGGATCTCTATGTAGAATGGTAATCTAAACATTAAAACTTTCCTTTAAATTTTTACAAGTTAAATTTTAAAATAAATGTAATCCTCCTCTTTTCTACAAGTCCTCTGGATAAGCTAGTTCCAGTCTGGATAGGCTAGGTTATGCTGTGGTAAAAAACAACTCCAAAATCACCATTTAAAACAACAAAGGCTTGTTTTTTTCTTCTACTACCTGTCCACTGAGGATTACCTGGAGATTTTGCTGTCTGCTGCCCATGTCTCAGGGTCTCCTGTGACTGGAGTCTCATGCAAAATTCTTACCTTCTGGATGACAGAAGCAGAAGATCCAAGATATGTTCAGTCTGGTCCCTAGGAAAAGTTTGCCTTTGACTCCTATTAGGAAAGATGCGAACATATTTGCAGTGTGTGGGTTTTTACTTAATCTAACCCCATCAATGAAGCTCAGGCCATTTGGGGAAGCTGGTGTTTCCCCTGAACACACACAGAAACCAAAACACCAGCATGGTAGCAGGGGCTATTGTCTGATTGTACTGAGAGCAAAAATCAATCTGTGCACAGTAATGGGTGTATGCACTGTAGTATATGCACACTGAAATAAAACAGTCCCTGAAAAGAGCAGAACCATGACAGCTGACTGATTATTTATATATATATATATATATATATATATATATATATAAATTTTTCCCCCATGAGATATATGTCAGTAAGAAAGGCAAGATTCAGGGCTGGGGTTGTAGCTCAGAGATATAGCGCTCGCCTAGAATGCGCGAGGCACTGGATTTGATCCTCAGCACCACATAAATATGAAATAAAGATATTGTGTCCACCTATAACTAAAAAATAAATATTAAGAAAAAGGCAAGATTCAGAATATAAAGTGTGTACAATATGATCCCATGTAAATCAAGTTATTATAAATCAAACCCTGTGTATATATGTAGAGGAATACGTTCTCCTACGGTGTTGGTTCAGCTTTTCAGTTTCCTTGGGAATCCAATCTAAGGCTGCCTGGGGGCTTCCTGGAGAGGTCCAAACCCAGGGAAGCTACATCTGTCCCAAAACAAGGTTTTCCCAATGCATAGACATGGACAGTTGGTAGAACAGGTATAGCAGTGTGCATGTTTGGTTGGATGGTATATTAATCGAACCAACCCAAGCAGAGGCTGCTTATGACACAATGGCCAGAAAGTTTCACAGAAATTCTTAAATTTGTTTAAATGAATCTCAGACTTCTTCTCTTTATGGGCTTCCTCTTTTGAACCTACCCACTATTTCTTCCAAATGGTTTATACTGTTTCTGCAGGTCTTGCTTGTTTCCATGTACAAATTAATTTTGGGCATTCTCTTTTTTTCATCRGTCATTATGGTTAGGGGAGTGGTTGGTTGTCCCAGGTTAATTTTCTGTCACCATGTAGTGCTCCTTTAGTGATATCTACAATGATAGTGATTTTGTCCCCAGATATATACAAATTCAGTTTATGTTTGTGAGACCAGTATTAATGAAAGAATCAGTGCTTATTTTTCTTTATACATTGATATTAAATAGATATTTTATACAATTATTATATTTTTATTTATTTATTTAATTTTAATTTTGGTATAAATCTGCTTTTCTAGAGATTGAAACCAGGGGTGCTTAACCACTGAGCAATATTCCCCCCTTTTTATATTTTATTTAGAGATAGGGTCTCACTGAGTTGCTTAGGGCCTCACTAAGTTGCTGAGGCTGGTTTTGAACTTTCGATCCTTCTGTCCCTCATGAGCTGCTGGGATTACAGGAGTGTACCACTGCTTCCAGCATCCTCCCTTATTAAGTGAAATTGACTTTTTATTTTACTTTCTTTTGTATGCTAGTTTATTAACAAGTGAATTTTGGTGTTGTGGTTGAGAAAAAAAACTAAAAAGTTAAATGAAAAAGGAATGAACACACAAACTAGAATGTAAAATTATACATATKTATGTTTATTCTTCAAATTAAAGATAAATAATTTTTAAAAACCAACTTGCACCATAACTGTTTCTTTTTTAACTTTTCTATATCCCATTTGCTTTGATGATTCTTTAGAAAATCATGTGTATTAGGGGATGTCCCTGCAAAATTTCTGCAGTAAAGGGTATGAGGGGATAAACATCAGAAAGGAAATACTCAGTTTTACTAGAACCCAAGTTTCTGTTTATTTATTATTCAACAGCTGCATAAATTGAAAAGGGCAGTCAAGGAGTTATCTCGTGCCATCCACTTTCAGCCAGATGGAGTCCAATTATATATAATGAGGTATGAGCATAGAAATTGAATTCTTAAGATAACTTCAAATCTGAGCAATCTGTTGGGATCTTTAGTTCTCTCTTGATTCTTTAACTTCCTCATTTTACATTTACTCTCTGGGCAATGGCCATCTCCCAKCCAGCAAGCCAGAGGCAATTCTTGTTTTTGCTAAACTTTAAGATAACATTACATAATATAACTGGATCTTCCCTTGCATCAAAACATAACTGCACGTTTAAGATCTTTAGGCCTTTCTAGGTTGATGGTTATGTAGTTAGTACGTATCTCACGAGAGCAAGGTAATACATTTTGAACAGTTGTTTTGAATATGTTAACAGAGGTGCCCCAAATAATTGTTAGCTAATTCCATAAAAAAAAAAGTGGCACAAGAATTGCATTTGAAATGTAGTAGAACTTGGACTAAGGAGTCATTTTACAAATTATTACTTCCAAAAATATAATCTCTAAGGATTAATAGAACTGGGAAAAGAAAGTGGAATTTTTTTTTCAGTACTGGACTTTGAATCCAAGGTTTTATATATGCTAGACAAATGCTCTACCACTGAGTTATATTCCCAGCTAGAACAATTTTTTTTTTCTGAAGAATGCTTGCTTTGTGTTTTAAGCCTTGAACCACATTTTAGCAATTTATGGAAAGTTTTCTTCATTTTATGTCCCTTAAATTTTAATTTTTAAGTAATTTCTCAGCAACAAAGTAAGGCAGTTTAAATGCAGATAATTGCAAAAAGAGATGACTATTTTTCTTGTAGCATCATATTTTCTAAATTGTTTCATCACATATCCATGTAAATTGGTCTATTTAGACTGTAAAATGTCTGTAATGTATTGCCTTTTATGCATGCATATATAAATATAATCAATGTATTGTACCTGTAAAATTTTAAGTAACTGAGTATAAGAAACTTTACTTTAGAAAAATTATTTTTATCAGCTTAGAATAAAAAAAAAATTTTTTTTCCAGAGGACAATATCTTCTTATGATGAAGTGTTATGATCTGGCAAAGTTCACTATTTATCAAGTAGCAGAAATGAACCGTGGTAAATATAATTAATTGAAAATTATAATTGTTTTAATTTAAGAAATATATTTTTAGAACTTTTGTACTACTTTCAGTAACTACACATAGATGGCATAAAGGTTTTAGTTGAAAGACAAAGATTTGGAAACTTCAGATTATATGTAAATAAATTGGTAAAATGATCCACAATATATTACAATGAACTTTGTGAAAGAGGTTATTTTTATAGGACTTACTAGGCTTACAATTTTGCTGGTTTTTTGTAATTGGAATGTCTTATGTTTCTTGAAAGTAAATAGATTGTCATATAATATTGAAAATTCATATTATAAAGAGATTTTTTTAATTGCTTGATTTTGTTAAAATAATTTTATTTGAAATCCTTCATACTTGGCAAAGGTACTGATAAATTTCCCTTTTCTCTTAGGTCTCATTGAGTTGAACCCAATACAACAAGCAATCATTTATTCATTTTGTGAAAACCATGAGAAGGCCATTCAGGTCTTGGAGGAGAGCTTGTGGAGTAAGCCAGAAGTAATCATGTTTATCATAGCAAAAACACTAATGAAGGCCAAGAAATTCAAGGTGAAAGGTCCTCTGAGTAATGTTTACTAAACCTAGTAATGAAATTCATATATCATGCTTAGTATGACATTTAAATATTATTTACAACTCTATATTATTTACATACTATTAATTTTATACTAGTATTTATTATACTATTTATTCAGTCTTTTATTAAACTTTGCAATTACTTTTTCATTTTTCTATTATAATTCTTAACATATTAACTGTACAAATTAATGGATTTTACTGTGACATTTCCTATATGTGTAATGCATATATTGTGTATTGACCATATTCATCCTCCCTTCTTTTTCACTCTCTCTTTTCTGTGTTCTTGCTCCCTGGACCCCTTCAGTCCATAATCATCCTTCCTCTACATTTAGGTCATCTTCTCCCCCCCACCCCATTTCCACATATGAGAGAAAGTATGTGGTACTTGTTTATGTCTGGTTTATTTTGCTTAACATGATATACTCCAGTTCTATCCATTTTCCTGCAAATGACATGATTTCATTCTGCTTTATGAATGAATAACACTCCATTGTGTATATATACCATATTTTCTTTATTTGTTAATCTGTTGATGGACAGCTGTATCTTGACTATTGTGAATAGCACTGCAATAAACTTGGGCTTCCAGATATCTCTTTCTGTATGCCAACTTCATTTCCTTCAGGTGTATACCCAGGAGTAGTACAGCTGGGTTGTGTGGGAGTTCTGGGTTTAGTTAGTTAGGTAGTTTGTTTATTTATTGGAAGTTCCATACTGTTTTCCATAGTAGTTGTACTAATTTACATTCCCACCAACAGTGTACATGGATTCCTTTATCTCCATATCTTCCCAATAATTGTTAYTTATTTATTTATTTTTTATAGTGGCTATTCTAACTGGGGTGAGAAGGAATCTCTGTGGTTTTGATCTGCACTTCTCTGATGAATAAAAGTATTGAGCTTTTAATTTTATATATTTATTAGCCATTTGTACTTCTTTTGAGAAGTGTCTGTTCAAATCCGTTGTCCATTTTTGATTGAATTACATTTTTTGTTGTTGTTAGATTTTTAAATTTTCTTTATATGTTCTGGATATTAGTCCTCTGTCAGATGAATGGCTAGCAAAGATTCATCTTTGCAGGTGGTCTCTTTACTCTGTTGATTGTGTCCTTTGCTGAGCAGAAACTTTTCAATTTGATGTAATCTCACTTTTTTTTTTTTTTTTTTTTTTTTGCTTTTGCCTCCTGAGCCATTAGAGTATGATTTAGGAAATTGTTGCTGGTATCAGTATCTTGAAATGTTTTCCCTATATTTTTCTAGTAGTTTCAAAGTTTCAAGTCTTACATTAAGGTCTTGATCCATTTTGAAATGAATTTTTGGACAGGGTGAGAGATAGTTTCAATCTTCTACCTGTGAATATCCAAGTTTCCCCACCACCATTTGTTAAAGAGGCTGTCCTTTTTATGATTTTGTATGATTTTGGCACCTTTGTATGATTAGTTGGCCAAAGAGGCATGGGTTTAGGGCAGTCTGTTACTGGCCTACATGCTAATGCCATGCTGCTAATGTTACTCTGCAGTATGTTTTAAAATTGGGTGTTGTAGTGTGTCTAGCACTGCTGTTTTTGCTCAGGATCGCTTTGGACATTTGGAGTCTTTTGTGCTCCCAAATGAATTTTAGAATTTTTTTTCTAGTTCTGTGAAGAGTGTCATTGGAATTTTGATGTGGATTGCATTGAATCTGTAGATCACTTTGTGTAGTTTGGCAATTTTAACGATAGATATTAATTCTCCCAATCCATAAACATTGGAAATCTTTTTACTTTCTAGTGTCTTCTTCAGTGTCTCTCCACAGTTTGCATTATGTTGAGTTATCTCTTGCTTCCTTGAGATGAAGCCAACTTGATCATGGCATATCATCTTTTTAATGTGCTGTTGAATTTGACCTGTTAGTATTGTGTTGAGGATTTTTGATCTGTGTTCATAAGAAATATTGGTCTGTCATTTTCTTTTTGTTGTTTTGTGTCTTTATCAGATTTGTAGAAGGTTAATACTTACTTGGTTTGTATTATTTTCTGTTTCATTGAAATCTTTTATTAGTCTCTTGTTGCTACTTTTATTGAAAGGGATATTTCCTTGTTATTTGTTTTAAATGTTCCATTGGATACTTATTTCATTAATATTCAAACTTTATTKTTTTATAATATAAGTGTCAGTCTGTTTTGTGCTGCCATAACAGAAAATAACAGATTGGGTAATTCGTAATGATTAGAAATTGATTTCTCTCAGTTCTAGAGGTTGGGAATTTCAAGATGAGGGTTCTGGCATCTTATGGAGATCTTCTTACTGTGTCATTCCATGGTAGAAGGTTGGAGGGCAAAGAGGGGTGTGTGTTGGGAGAGAGAGAGCAAGAGAGGAGGAAAAAAACAATAGGGAGCTGAATTCTAAACTTGTCCTTTATAAAGGCCCAATCCCATGATAATGAACCATTCTAGCAACTAGTGGCATTTAATCCATTGACTATATAGTCCCTTTTTAAACGTTCCATTCTCAATACTGATACATTGGGTGTTAAGTTTCCAGTTTGTGATTTTGGGGGAATACATTCAAATTACAGCAATAAACAGCATTTACAAGTTATGGTCAATTTCATAAATATTTTAAAATTTATGATAGGATTTCATTTAAAAAAAAAACACACACATTTTTGGGTCTGAGGTTGTTGCTCAGTGGTAGAGGAYTTGCCTGGCATGTGTGAGGCCCTGGGTTTGATCCTTAGCACCGCATATAAACAAACAAATAAATAAATAAAATAAAAGTCCTTTGACATAAAAAAAAATATTTAAAAAAGAACACATTTTAAAAAGTTTCTTTTCTTTTTAATTTGCAAATACAATGTAAAATGAATATTCTGCTTGATATTGATTCTTTGAAATATGCTCAGAATTATTCATGTCTTAGTTTTGTAAATCATCCATGTATGAAAAATATGCATTTTCTCATTTATATGTTTTATATATGCTTAGTAGGTCTCATTTTTAATGTGTTTTTCACATGCTTATTTTTTTTTTCTTAAAGAGAGAGAGGGAGAGAGAGAGAGGGAGAGAGAGGGAGAGAGAGAGAGAGAGAGAGAGAGAGAGAGAGAGAGAATTTCAATATTTATTTTTCANAGAGAGAGAGAGAGAGAGAGAGAATTTCAATATTTATTTTTCAGTTTTCGGTGGACACAACATCTTTGTTTGTATGTGGTGCTGAGGATCGAACCCGGGCTGCACGCATGCCAGGCGAGCACACTACCACATGAGCCACATCCCCAGCCCCTCACATGCTTGTTTTTAACTAATTGATCTATCAATGACTGAAGTATTTTTAAATCTCCTATAATGATGTGGATACCAAGTTAGTTTTCTCTGTGATTCTTTAAGTTTTATTTTATGTAACTTGAGGTTATTTTTAATTTTATACATTTTAAAATTGACATGTTTATTCACACACACATATACATACATATAGAATACAGTACTGAAATTTGATACATGTATTATTAGTATATCATATATAAAATCAGGACAATTAGTATTATCATCTCCTCAAATATTATCATTTCTATGGTTTGGGAACCTTCAAATTTTTCTCTACTTATTTTGAAAGGCATAATTAATTGTCAAAAAATTTATTTTTGTTATATATCCTCAATTTTAGAATTATTATACTTATTTGATGAACTGAACTTCTATCATTACATAGTGACTCCTCTATCACTACTTATAATACTTTCAGTGTTTATGCTATAGCTCTGTTAGTTTTTCATCACTGTGACCAAAATACCTGACATAAACACCTTCATTGCAGAAAAGATTTATTTTGGCTCACAGTTTCAGAGGTTTTATAGTCCATGGTCTGCTGACTCCATTATTTCTGGGTCTGTGGTAAGACAGAATATCATGGTAGAGGGAGCACTTCTCACCACTTAGCAGCTGGGAAGCAGAGAGTGAGCCGGAGGAAGGGGCCAGGGACAAGATCTACCTTCCCTGGATATGTTCCCAGGACCTACTTCCTCCAACTGTGTGCAATCTCCTAAAGCTTCCACCACCTTCTAATAATGCCATCAATTTATGAATCCATCAGTGTAATAGTGCATCAATAAGAGAGCCCTCGTGACCCAATCACTTCCCCAACCCCCACTCCCCCCACCCCCTGCCACCTCTGAACATTGTTACACTGGGGAGTAGTAGTACATTAAGCTCAGGAGTCTTTGAGAGACACTTTATTTCCAAACATAACAACCTACTTTATTTTGAAAAACAGTATTTTAATGTATGTCTTTTTTTCTTTTACTTTTGACTTTTCCATATCCTAGGTTATAGGAATGTCTTAAAAACAGTTTATAAAAGGCTTTTAAAAATTCATTTTGATTATATCTTTGTTTTACATGGAAAATTTTGGTTCCTGTGATTTTTCTTCCATTTGGATTTTTGTCATTTTAATTTTATTCTTTCTCTTTTATTAGGGTGTTTTATATTTGCTATTCTTTTTCAACAATTCTTTTAAAATCTCTACTACTTTTTACTTTTTGTACTGATATTTTTAAATTTAAATTTTTATTTAAATTACTTCCTCTTTAATCTTCTCATTTCACATTTTGTTTGTTACTAGTGAAATGTTGCCAAACATATACAGCTATGTCTGAAGTTAGATAACATTGTTTCCTGAGTACAATATCATTCTCCTGACTAATAAAAAGATCATAGACTCCTCTAACACTAATTATTTCCTTCCAAATTAACATATACTTTTTTCTTGTATTTAAGATCTGCAAGTTATAATACAAAATGACTACCATTATTTTAGAACCAATATTTATATTTACATATCTTTCCATTTTATTTGCTCAGCATTTCTTATGTGTCAGACTGATCTTTTGAGATAATTTTTATTTTTTTCTGAAATAAAAATGAACATCTGTCAATGATAAGGCTTTTTACTATTCTATAACAAAATTTTAGATTGGAAGTTACTTTTTGTCGAC